TTTGTTTTAACCAGTATTGTTTGGGAAGTCTTAGACTTTAAAACTCTTGAACTGATAGTCTCAAACACCCGAGAGGACAGACCGGGACGCATTACACTCCTGTTTGAAATAAACACCTGGCTCTGAACCCTCAGTTCAGTCCTGTGATGTTGACGCTGCCTCCGTCAACGCTGTCCTTCTGCTCAGGGTCACTGGCGACCACCTTCAAGGGTTTGGTGTTGTCCTCCCAGAATATCGGAAGGTAGAATTGTAAATTCGTGGAACTTATTTTATAATGGTGTACCTCAGCAGCTGCCTTTCGATTTATGCCAAGTCCTTACTGAGTCTATACTTGAATAGTAAATATGTCTTCTGAGTTCTACAGTGTCTTAAACTCTGCACATGTTTTTTCCTTTCCACCTTTTTACTTGTAATTACATGAAACCTGTCCTTCAGCCTGCCCTACTACCGAGTTGACTTCCTTCCTGGCTGTACTTACTGGGGTGCTGGATTTTTTTCCATGTCTTTAGTCTTCCATAAATTCAAATATATATATAAATATATAAATATATATATGTTCTCTTCTTTAGCTTGTGGTGAATACAGTAATTTGCATTGAAGAAATAAAACATTTGTTGCCTTTTTGACCAAGATTTCCCATTTCATTGGTGTCTGCTGCTAAGTTCTGTGGGGAGAGGCCCCTTTATTAAGCCTTAAATAGGACAAAGACAAATCAGAAGAGGGAGACCAACTGGTGTGGAAAAGATCCAAGGCCATGTGGCTAATGAAAGAACATAGAAAACCCGTCGGGCAGATTAACGCATCACTGTCGAAGTGGAATGGCTGGAGCAGGAACAGGGCCATAATTGGGGTACTTCGATAAGTGCAGGTTAGAAAAGCTGACAGGAATGGTTCTAGGACCCTTTGATAACCTGGCTACAGATGGGATGACCATGTGGCTCTGGTACTTCTACTTCCATTAAGGACACCACCAGGCAAGACCCCGAGGCAAGGCGGTCTCTCCTGGGACTAGCTAGGCAGGGTAGTAAACTATTTTCAAACACCCTGCCTGAGAGCAAAGCTTTCTACATTTTGAGTTTTGGGTAAGACAATTAATTGAAAATCGAATTAAAGCTTCCTGTTTAAACTGTGCCATTCAGCAAACTATATGCCCAGAATTTAAACTCATTTCCAAGGCAGCCTCAGACACAATGTGGGTCGTCATGACTTGGAATTTTGGGAGCAACAGCTGGTTTTCCAAGCAAGGAGAGAACTGGTTGTTAGTAAGTACTGAGGACTTAATATGTGCTGGACACAGCCTGTGAGCTTTAGAAAACTCGTCTGTTCTGGGAGCTTAATTATGGTAGGGGGTGGGGGTGGGTTGAAGACAATATATTCTTATTTAGAACAAACTAAGGTGCCCTGATGGCGTAATGGGTTGCTTACTTGTTGGGCTGCCACCTGCAAAGTCAGCAGTTCTAACCCACCAGCTGCTTGGAGGGAGAAGGATGAGGCTTTCTGCTACTGTAAAAATTGACAGCCCTGGAAACCCAAAGGGGCAGTTCCACACTGCCTATAGGGTCAATCAATAGGAGTCAGAATCAACTGGATGGTAGTGAGTTTGAGTGAGGTGTTAGTGCTCTAAAGAGAAGGACTAGGGTGCTCTAAGAGAATATTGGGGGGTTGTGTATGGGGGCGGGTGGACTAAACAGGGAAGATGTCAGAAGTAGCATTTGTAGAAACTTCACAGACTCCTTGGGCTGCTTTCGGTCAACAGTTGAAACCACCCGCAGCAACTGAGGGAAAAGAGGGGCTTTCTACTCCCCGACGACCCCCACCTGTGCTGTAGGGTCCCTCTGCGACTAAGTTGACTTCCTGACGGGGCGTTTGGCCTGGCCCCTCTGGGTGACATCGCATCCATCTGCCGTGTGAGTGACAGACACTCCACGGAGGCTGCACTAAGTGCCTCCGGCTCACTGCATTTTCTAAGGGTTTTTCTAAAGACATTAAGTAAAATGATTTGAAAATGTGGGTTCCAAGAAGAAGACAGTACCCAATTTGCTTTCTAGAAATATAAAATGGGCTGCTTTCCAATTCTTAACTTCTAGGCCAACTGGAAAAGGAAAACAAGGGCTTCAATATTAAAACATTGAATTAAAGTCACTCAGAATGGAAATAAAATTGTAATCTTGGCCCTGTTGCAAAGGGAAAGACATTTACTTGACATAGAAAACACAGTGGTAAAGCAGAGGTGAGCCTACTGCTTGGAAAACAGAGCACAAGGCCGGGAGCACATAGTCTACCAGCCTGGTGAACAAGACTGCCTTCCCCACCTGGCTGTGGTGCTCCTGGCCATTGTCCCAGTTCCTCCTCTGTGGGGTGACCACCACCAAGTACACCCAGGATGTGCACAAAGAGCCCCTCATCTCCCCGGAGTCTCACTCTTCATGGACTTTGGGGGCTCCTGTTCCTGCTGCTCTGGGTCAGCATCTACCTGTGACACCACCACCACCCCGCCCCAGCACCAACCAGTGGTTTCTCAGAATCCCTGCTTTTGTAAATTACATTTTGTTTTAACTCTTTCTGAACCCCTGTGCTCACAATAAAGGCAGAGGTGTGAAAAAATTTTAAAAGTCGGAAAATTTTTTTAAAAGCACGCCATTGGACAAAGTAAGTAATCCATAATCTGCACTGAATATAAATGCACTGTAAGAGAATCCAGACTTTGTACCAGGAAATAAACACAAGCAGAAGTTATAGCATTTGTCCCCAGGATTCCAGCCAATTTTTCTGGTTTATACATTGCCACCTTTTCTTTAATGAGGTGAGAAGTTACCATTTACAGGATGCCAGGAAACAAGATAGTATGGTAATCCCAGAAACCCAAACAATTTGGTCAGCAGAAGATGGTTTGCATGAATTTCTTGAATGTGTATCCATGGAATTTTAAGACCGGTTCCTTTCAAGTGTCATTTTTTTGCAACCTCTTCACTTAGAAATATATGTATATTTTTAATTTCGAATGCTAACCCCCCCAATCAAAAGATTTAAGAAAATAATTTTGGTCCAAAAGCATTTAACATTCAAGTCAATGTTTTTTAGAATTGAGGGAAAGACCATCATTTTGTTCTGATTTTAAAAACCGAGTCCTCACACCCCAGGATTGGGCATATATAGAGCATGATGGGTAAAATAGACTGGTGGGAGGGGGAGTGGGCCCAGATTCTAGCCCTTGTCATTTGTCAGATGCAAGTACTTAGCCTCTAGACATTGATTCCTAATCTACAGAATGACAATACACACCTCGGGAGCGGGTTGGGAGGTGGGGGGAGAGGTGTTCCTTATAAAGGGATTTTAATCTAAAACAGTGGTTCTCAACCTTCCTAATGCCGTGACCCTTTAATACAGTTCCTCATGTCGTAGTGACCCCCCAACCATAAAATTGTTTTTGTCACTACTTCATAACTAGTTTTGCTACTGTTATGAATCGGGCAACCCCTGTGAAAGGGTCGTTTGACCCTCACAGGGGTTGAGACCCACAGGTTGAGAACCGCTGATCTAGTGGGCTCTCTGACTGACAAAGAAAATACCCCGGACGTGATACTCTGCCCTTTTCCAGTCACTGGTCTTCACTGGAAGCTACCAATGTCTGTCTCTCGAAAGGCTGGCTTTGGGACCCAGTGCCATGTTGTGAAATAACCCAGCACGGAGAAGAACTGAGAGACACCGGCCTCCACCGGCCAGCCTCCCAACCAGCCACCAGTTTGCCAGCCAGGCCTGTTTCAGCCCCATTTCAACTTTGCCAGCTGATGCCAAGTTGAATGGAGATACTAGTTGCCCCTGCCAAGCTCTCCAGTTTCAGATTGGAGAGGATGGTTCGGATCAGCAATAGAACATGAAATCAAAGTTTTGTTCCTCTGCCAGCCACTCTGACTCCATGAAAGACTGCGCTGGTAGGAAGAGTAAACTCATTTTGTCCAAAGGAACTAAGTAAGTATGGTAGAGAGAGCATAGAACATGAAATTTGCCGAGTTTGTTATGTGCTGTTTGGTGTGTAACAAAACTTGGTTCAGCTTATGCAGCAGACCTTGTAAATGCCTACCTTCTGCCTAGCGCTCGCTATAAATCGTAGCTCTGAGAATTGATCTCCCTCTAGAGCTGTGTATCCTTTTAACCCATGTTTAGTTCCAGAGCCCACTGATACTGATACCTCTTTCATGTCCACCTGACCCTCATATCAAAGCCAGGCCATACCATAAGCCCCTCTGTATGTGTACCACCCATTGGCCAATCAGGGGAGTCAGCCCTAATTGTAAAATTAAGCACAGATTTGGAGGAGACCTTTCTTGGAGCAAGCTGATTAGAGAGAGAGTTGCTCACAGTGGCTATCCATTTACCTTGCACACTTGGCCAAGAAACCAATTACGTACAGTGGTCTTTATGCTGTAAAGATTGAGAGAAATTAGAAGCTATCCAATGCCTACAGCTGGGTTTTCCTTCCACGAGGGGGAGTAACAGCCCTGCAAATCAAATGTCTACAGTATCTGGTTCAAGCTGGCTGTCCCGATTTGAAAAGCGTTTTGCAGTTTACAAACTCAACATGCTTTCGTTAAAAAAACACCCAACCAATCTATGACCCCCTCCCAGGGGTACGATCAACGGAAAAGTGGGTGAGGGGCCACGGAGGACGATGTAAGATATGAAAATAATATCTAACTTATCAAAGGTTCGTGAGGGAGAGAGGGGGAATAAATAGGGAGTTGATATCAGGGGCTCAAGTGGGAAGAGAATGCTTTGAAAATGATGATGGCAGCATATGTGCAAATGTGCTTGACACAATGATAAGAGATGTAAGAGCCCCCAATAAAGCTATTTAATTAAAAAAACACCCAACAAGGTGCAAGTTATCTAGAAGTCGCATGTGAGCAAACCGCGGCGATTGTTTTCCATTCCTTCATCTATAATAGGACGGTGAAAAAGACCTACTTGTAACACATTCCACTGCAGCCTGAACGGACGCCACGGCAGTCAACTTGGCTTTGTGAGCGCCGGCCGGGACCCAGGATCCTCTAGCGAGTCCCCCCGGCCCTATAACCCGTATTTCCTTTTCCTGTTTTTGTCCCGCCCCAGCGTCGGGTGACGCGCGCTGCGATTGGATGCCAGGAACCCGCAAGGCGGAAGCTGCGGACGGAGAAGGCGGCGGGCGGAAGACGGTGCGGTGGCCATGGTAACGGGAGGCGGGGCGTAACGGTCGCCGGGAACCCGAGGTGGAGACGCCGCCCGCTTAGCTGCTGGGCCGCAGCCGGAGGAGCTTGAGGCCCCGGCGGCGAAGCCCCCTCCGGGCCGGCCGTCGTGCGCTCGATGCCGTTGGAGCGGAGCGGAGGCTGGGCCCGGGCCGCGGGCGGAGTAGGAGGCCGACGGGCCGGTGGTGGCTGCGGCGGCGGCGATGGACGCCGTAGAGGAAGAGAGCTTCGCGCTGTCCATGTGAGTGCGGCCCTCGGAGGGAGTCGCGGCCAGGCTGGCCTGGCCCTCGCTTGGGACTTAGCCCCGCTGCACCGGCAGCCCCTCATCACAATGAGCCCCGTCTCTGGCGTCAGCAAAGCCCTGGAGGGCGGGGGGCCCGGAGGAGCCCCCCCATTCCCGGCCCAGGCCCCCCTGGATCCTGGCCCCGTTCGTGCTCGCGGGCCGCCGGCGTGGGCTGGGAGCCAGGATGAAGTGAGTAGACCCCCAGAAAACACATGCACACCGCCGGCCCCGGTGCCCTTCGTAACCCGCCAGGATTTATCAGGCTCTCCGAAAGCAGCAGCTCCCAGCCTCGTGTCCCAGATGAAGGCAGGCGGGGTTTCTGTTGTTTGCAATGGCTGCATCACATGCCTTTTTTTAACTCGCTGTCCTAGGGACCCCGCAGGACCCAGTGGCACTGTCCCCTTTGGGTTCCCGCGGCTGTCTGTCTGCCAGAGCACAACACCTGGGCTTTCTCCAGAGGAGGGCGGGGGTCGAACCTGGTGGATTAACCGCCCTACAAGTAACCCGCTACACCCCGCCGCACCTAGATTCGCTAGTCATTTCTAATGTTTGAAGCCAGGTCATGCGAAGTTCATTTTACTGGGTCCCCCCTCCTCCTTTTTTCTTGTGTACAAGTTGTTACATGTGCAGAACTGTTTTTATTTAATGGATGGCCTAGCACAGCACTTCACCCCGGCATGTTGATTTCCAGCTCCTCGGCCTCCGATGCAGAGTTCGATGCTGTAGTCGGATATTTAGAGGACATTATCATGGGTAAGCTGTCTCCTAACCCCCGCCCCCCCGCCAACGATCTGACCCCGAATTAGACCTGTTCTTAATCCGCGGAATTTCCAAGCCTGCCCATTGGTACAGGAGCAGACAGCCTCATCTTCCTCCTGGGGAGCAGCGGGCGGGTTTGAAGCACCATTGGTTCCAAACCACCAGCCTGCCTGTTAGCAGCTCAGCACTCAACCCACTGCATCACCCTTGTTTTTAAGGACATTGAAATCGATGCGGCGAGTTGATTTTAAGAGAAGGGTGTGTGTGTGTAAATTTTAAGAGAAGTGTGTGTGTGTGTAAATTAAGCTGCATATTATTATTAAGGTAGTGCAAAGTAAGATTAGCTCTTTCCTGTTTTTACTTGACTTGCCTTAAAGGAGGCAAACAGCACTGCACCTTCTCCAATCAACTAACAAACACAGTCTCCGGCCCTGGAAGGAACTTGTTCAGGAGACAGGGCACCTAGAAATTACGGGGCTCTTGGCAAAGCCGGAAGCCCTGTCACCGTAGGTTATGCGACAACCTGTGAGCAGTTAGTTCACTTCGTGTCGTTTGACCAGTGCCCCCATTCTTGTACCATGATGGCACGGCATGTGCCATCACCACGAGCCTGGGTCCTTGAAGGAAAGGAGGCGTCAGAGCCCGTTCTGAGCCGGTCCTGGGGATCGGGTTGAGCAGCCCAGAGATGCAGCGGCACAGACAGTGTGAGCCCAGCCCTGACACCGGTCCGCCCAGTGCCCTACGGGGACATTCTGTGGAAGTTCGGGAAAGGACATGGAGTGGGTGGGCTTGTGGTGTAGCTTTGTCTGGAAGTCACCACGTTTTTGTCCCTCCAGGTTCTGTGCAAGTTCGCTCCTTTAACTCCAACCTAGAGCTGCCTCCCCATTATCCACTCATCCTGTGCAGGAGTGTGGGGGATCTGAGAAACGCTGGGGGACCCATTCCTGGCTGCAGCCTTTTGTAGGCAGCCTTTGTGCTGAGGGAACATGCGCCCTCTGAGCCCATGCGTGTGCCCCAGTGTCCGAGCCCTCCGGGAAGCTTGGCTTGGCTTTGTGGAAAGAATGCTCTCGTGTTGGCATTCCCAGACACTGATCAGATGTATGCTGGGAACCCATCATGAACACATCTCTTCATCTGAAATCCACCTAGCAGTTCTTTAGGAGCCGCCCCACATGTTACTTTTCCAGGCAAGGGAAACCAGGGCTTCAAGAAGTGAGCTCGCCCGAAATCACACGACTTGGCTGAGGGAGAGTCTGGAGCCCAGCATTCTGGCCTCTGTCACAGCCCGGACTCAGTCACTGTTGTTAGCACCGAGCCCAAGGGGGGAAGTGATTGGTCCTGACACATGAGTCCTGTGAGGGAGTCCCCGGGCCACGAAAAGCAGTGCTAGCTCTGCTGTGCCCGTGGACTGCAGTTGTGTGGGGCAACAGTGCCTTGGAGGCAAGGGAGGTCTGCTTTGTCAGTGGCCAGGGCCGAGCAGCAGTGCAGAATGGCCGTTCTCCTGGGTACTCAGCTATCCACACCACTGTGCCCAGGAGGGGACGGCGATCCACTCCCCCTTCACCACCACTGGCTGGCCCTCTCCTGGACGCTGACTGGGGAGGACGCAGCACTGGCTGACTGGGGAGAAGCCTCCACTAAAAGACCCTCTCCTCTGTGGCTCAGATGAGGAGTTCCAGTTGCTGCAGAGGAGCTTCATGGACAAGTACTACCAGGAGTTTGAAGACACGGAGGAGAACAAGCTTACCTACACGCCTATTTTTAATGAATACGTAAGCAGACTCTCTTACCGAGCGATGAGGGTTTCTGGGAAGGCTTGATTATAGGAAGCTGTGGAAATTTGCCCTCGCCTCCTAAAAGCTGCCACTGTCAGTAGCCCAAATGAGAACTGAGCTCTGCTCCCATCTCCGGGTCACTCTGCTGCCTGCCACCCAGCTCTAGTGGCTGTTTTTCCAAAAGGCTTCCAGGCAAATGTTTGATGAGCTCATGTAAAAGAAACCATTGATTTATCATAATCCTGCCTTCAATGGTGTGGGTCCGGCACACCTTGATAGCTATACTTTGGACTTTTTCCTCCCACGCACAATTTTTTTCTACTTTACGGGCCTCTGGGGTATATAGGACTGCTTAATAAAAGTGAACCCTCCAGAAACCCAGCCTCTGGCCGTCTGCCACATTCAGAGCAAAACCAAGACCCAGGAACCTCAGGACTCTGAACCCGTGGGCTTTCCACTGGGCCTGGGCCTTCGGCAGCCTCCTGGGGTTAATTACCTCACTTGCCAGAGTGGGTTCCGCTGTCTGGGAAGCTCGGCTTAACCAGTGGTTCCCCCTTCAGCCCGGCAGCCTCAGAAGGACCCCGTGGGGGAGGGGGGGCATTTTCATTTGGTCTTTTTGTACAGATTACACACACACACACACACAGGAAGAAAAGGCCCCACGTAGTTCCTCATTGCTGCCTGCCCTGGGGTGGGGGGGGAGCCCACTACTCACTATCTCCACCTCTGTTGGAGCACCCTTCCTGCCCCCAGCCTACTTACCCGAGTAGCTGGGCCGTTTCCCCTTTGTCCCCCAGCAGGAGGACAGGCTCTGAAAAGGAAGCCCTGCTCTCCTGACATGGAGTCTGACCCAGATGCTGTCTGTCCGTCCGCTCTTGCAGATTTCTTTGGTAGAAAAGTACATCGAGGAGCAGCTGCTGGAGCGGATTCCTGGGTTTAACATGGCGGCCTTCACCACCACCTTACAGTGAGTCGCAAGTAGACGTTGTGGTTGTGTCCTTTCACAGGGACCACCCACCCAACCCCCTGCCCCGGCCCCAGCCCCCTTTGTGAGTGTCTGAAATGCCAAGGCCTAGAGGACTTGCGCCCTCCAAACGTCCGAGTGAAGCCGCGGGCCCTGCCTGTGTGCCCGCGCCCTCAGCAGCCTTGCTCTCCTCGGGCAGGCACCATAAAGATGAAGTGGCTGGTGACATATTTGACATGCTGCTCACCTTCACGGACTTCCTGGCTTTTAAAGAAATGTTTCTGGACTACAGAGCGGTAAGTCGCGTCTCTCCATTTCCTTAGAGTTCTAAGACTCTCAAACATCAGTCCCTCCTGTTGCTGCCCCTTCGGCCTGGCCAGGAGTAGCCTAGCAGCTAGCAAGACCTAAGAAGCGGAGCTGCTGTCCTCTCAGGGGACCCAGACCAGGGACGCATGCCACGTCACATGGCAGGTTTTGGGCAAAGGGCAGAGGCCGGACCGCAGCTTGAGCTCTGCTGTGCCCGCCTGGTGTGGTCTCTAGAGGGAAGGAGCACTTTTCAGGACAGAGGCACGTTTTGTGAGTGGCCAGGGCCAAGCTGAGCAGAACTATGTAGGATGGCCGGCGTCCATACCTTCCCTGTACCAGCAGGACGCTTGCACTTCTTGACGTTCGTTTTTGCCTCGTGTAGGAGAAAGAAGGCCGGGGACTGGACCTGAGCAGTGGTTTGGTAGTGACGTCGTTGTGCAAGTCTTCCTCCCTGCCAGCTTCCCAGAACAACCTGCGGCACTAAGGCCCACCAGACTGGGAGAGGTGGCCGGTGGCAGAATGCCCTGGGAAGACCTTGCCTCTCCTGCTGATCATCAGTGAAGTTATGTATTAGTGGGTCAAAAAGAACGTGGCAGGACCCCTCTCGTGAAATACCTTGTCTTCTGTGGTCCTAATACCCCACCCTGACTGAGCAGGCTGTCTCCAGAGCAAGCCACGCCCAGCATCCCCATGGGGATAATAGGGTGTCAGCCAGGCCACTAACCACCGTCAGAGCCCACTCTGCCCCAGCCAGCTTTGCAGGAGCCCACCCTCACAGCTCACACTTGGGTCCCCTGCCCTGCAGCCTCACTGCCTGGGATTGTGACACCTACTCAGAGCTTTCTGAAGGTCCCGGGCACAGACCTGGTCTCTGCGCAGGTCCAGCAGCCACAGGTGAAGACGGCCTCCCAGGCCGCTGTCTGTTCCTGCCCCTTGCATCAGCAAGCTTGGCTCGGCCTGCTGTGCTCCCACGACTTCCACACCTCCTAAGCATTATTTTTGAAAAACTATTTTTATAGATGAATACTCAGGCCCAGCTCATGGCTCTAATCTTGGGGAATCCCTGATTACCCATGTAAAGATCAAAGTATTATACGCTATGTGCTTGTTAGGCCTTCGTGCGCTGAACGCAGGGCTCCTTTCTCCGGGGCACCTGGCCTCCCAGGCTCCAAGGACTGAGGGTGTCGTCCTGTAGCCTGTCAGTCTGTGTTTGTGTAGGTCTGTCTTGTGTGCATGTCAGTGTGTTTGTGCAGGTTTGTGTTAGGCTGTCTGTTGGGGTGGGGGGGCTTTGGGGAAGAATTATAATCTGAAACCCGCTTCCTGTCAAGATGTCTTACCCGGATGGTGTTCCCGGCCTCGCCCACGGGAGCAGGGGCTGGCGCAGCTCTCATGGGGACGGGTACCCTGGTTTAGTCACATGCTTGCCGTAACATTCCTGACCAGAAAATGTGTACGTCACACCTCTAAGCTAGCATAATTTAATAGCTAATGTGTACCTTTGTGTGTGGGGGGTGGGGGGATTGTGGTTTTCTTTTTTAAATAAAAAGGATCTGTTCAGATTTCTCACTTGGCTGGTCTGGTTTTAAGGAGGAGCTATATGGGTCTCTGTTTCTCACAACAGTAAGATGGGGTATGGGGCAAGAACCGTCGTCGTAAGGCAAAATGCCCCAAATGCCACCTGTCCTGGGCTTGCTGTCCAATGTGCCTAAACGTGCCTATCTGTGGCAGACCGGGTGTCCTAGAAGCAGCGCTTTGTGGGCACCCGTCTGGGCACCGCTTGCCTCATGGAGAACAGGCGGGGGACATGCCTGAGACAAAATGAGGGCAGAGCAGAAGAAAGGCAAATCGCTCACCCTTTTCCTCTCGGCCAGCCAGCTGTTGTCGGAAGGCTGGCTTTCTGGCTTCCTCTGGGACCAGGCTCACCAGCCACACGTGCCACCGCTAAGGCAGAGCCCAGCACCAGCCCCTCACCTCTGAGAAATACTGAGAGGGCTTCAAAATAGTCCTGACTAAAAGGGATTAAAAGAGACTTCACAGATTTGTCACGCCCACTCCCGTGTCCCCAAACGCAGAATCCGAGGACTGCATAGACGTGACTGACCCAAGAGCTAGTTGACCATCCTTGCTAAGGACCCCACTCCTGAAATAGGTGTGTGTGGGGGGGAAGGTTCATCAGAAACCAGAGGACTGAGTCCCCGACTCACCCGAAGTGTGCTTTCCCTTACGCCTGCAGAGGAAGTAGATCGGTGCTTTCATTGCTCCAACAGAGAGACTTGAGTGGGTCTGTTTGAGCTGCTGTTGCTGTTGACCCAGCCTTGCAGGGACACGCCGGACCCGTCCCTGGCAAACGGACACGTGGCTCACCCATCAGTAACTTGAACATGTGTTATTTGGCCTGTTCTCAGTTTTAAATGACCTAAGAGTAGATGCCTATGTCTTGCTGAGGGAGAAAGGTGATTGGCCATACTTGGAAAAACCAGCTCAGCGGGGCTGGCCCGCTGCTCACCATCTCTGAGCATGGGAACCTGGCCTCAGCACCTTCCTCCCCAGGCCGGCCAGCCTCGCTGGGATGCTCGGCTCCACCGTTTGAGGTGGGGAAATAAACTCCACAAAACGACCACCCTTGCCTAAAGCTATGTGACCTGACCAACGGACCTGGGATACTTTTGAAACTACAGGGGTGGGGTGAGGAGGGCTCAGTTCACACTATGAAAAGTGGGACATGTGGGGTCCTGAAAAGTCCTAACCCACAGCATCCCAGGAGTTTAAATGCCTACAACCACAATTCCCCCAACATCAGTTTCAAATGCGTTTTCCATCTTTAATTTTGTACAAAACAAAACCCACAGTAGCAGCAGAGTGTCACCAACCACAGGACAACTCAGCAGGCAAGGTGTTGGTCCCTCCCTCCTTCCCTCTATCCCAGGTCCCCGGGGCCTCTTCAACAAAGAGCTGTTGGCATTGAGTTCCAAGCTGCCCAAAGGGAGTATTAAAACCAAGGGGTAGGAAGGGGGAGAGAGCCTGGAGCCATCGCTTAAAAGGGGGTTCTTTATAAAACGCGTGTTTGAGATGCAGGCAAGGTCAGACCACGCTGTCAGAAGCCAGTCTTCCCATAGGTGCCCCATGGAACAAGGAAGAACGCGTGCGTGCTGCGTGTTAGCCTTACACGAGGGCGGGCCGGGGGCTGCAGGGCTGAGGAGCCTGTTAGTGCATTTAGTGCTGGTGAGAGCGGGGGCCCTCGCTGACACCCACTGAAGACAAGGCAGAGAACCCACGACCCACGTCACGGTCCTTTAAGGGGACAGAGGCGAAGGTCTCTGGACACCTATTGCAGCCTTGGGCCAAACCACAGGAAGGTTCCTGGCCGTGGAAGTGTGTGAGACACCCCCACCCTGCCTTGACGGCCCGCGTGCTTGTGGGGTGCTGCCGC